GCAGAGACGATGACGTGGAAAGATGGAGCAGCTGGGGACTCTAGACCCAGAAAGGGAGACGGTCTGTGTGTTGACGACCGGGGGGCAGGCTTGCAGGGTATATACCATTTGGTTGGTTGATGATCTATGGAGGGGATTATAACCATGGCAATGTAATGATACAATGTAAGTAAAGCTAATGTTCTCCCATGTAAATTATCACATAATTCACAATAAAACACACACACACACACAAAGATTTACAGTCTCAGAAACCGTATATAGGGTTGTTATGAGTCGGAACCAACTTGATGACAGTTGGTTTAATAAACCTCCAAAATCTGGTGGCATAATGGTTAAAGTGCTTGTCTGCTAACTGAAAGATCAGTGGTTCAAACCCACAAGCTGTTCTACCGGAGGAAAACATGGTAGTCTGCTTCTGTATAAATTGCTGTTGTTAAGTGCCGTTGAGTCAGCTCTGACCCATACAACCCTGTATAGGGTTTCCAAGGAGCGGCTGGTGAGTTTGAACCTCCACCCTTGTGGCCCAAACTGACCTTGCAGTCTAGTGCATTGTCTCACAGCTCCACACCAGGACTCCTCTGTGAAGACGGGAGCCTGGGAAACCCTCTAAGGTAGTTCTGCTCTGTCCTGTAGGGTCATTATGGGTCAATATTGACTCAGTGGCAATGATAAGACACCTCCAGGCTGGGAGGCTCACTTGGCTTCTCCTTTCACCTCTGGTCCCCAGCAGGTCAGGGTGTAGACAGGGAATCAGAAACCCTAAAAGGGACTGCACATCAAAGTGCACCTACCTCCCCTCTACTCCTCAGGGCTAACAAGTGCCCTGACTTACCTTATGACAGCCACCGGGCCAGCAACTGCAGCAGCAGCAGAGAAGGATCCTCCATTTGCTCAGGGAAGAGTCCTTTGTAAGCCTCAGACTAGTCACTGGGCTAGCTTTCATTTGCCTGGAAGAAGTGGATTCAGTCCTGCTCAGTCACCCACCCAAGTCAGTTGACTAGCTCAACAATAGATCCTACCCTGGGGCAAAGCAAGAACAGAAGGTACCTTTGTGTGCTGGGCCTGTGGGCTGGGCCAGCATTTCCTCCCGGGATGGAGGCAGAAAAAGGGACCCTGGCAGCTCAATGGTAAAAATGCCCAGCTGCTAACCACAAGGTCATTAGTTTGAACCCACCAGCCACTCCACAGGAGAAAGATGTAGCTGCCTAGTCCCATAAAGATTACCTAACAGCCTTGGAAACCCTATGGGCCAGTTCTACTCTGTCCAACAGGGTCACTCTGAGTCACAACAGACTTGATGGCAGCAGGTTTGGAGGCAATTTCCAGGAAAAAGGTTGAGTTCAAATCTCATCAGGACCAGAAGACCCTGGGTCTTAGGGGCAGTGGACAAAGCTATGACCAGCTTATGTAGGGGTGGGAGATCTTCCTGCCTGCAGAGCAATGGATCATTTTTATACAGCCTTTCTCACCATGGTCCTGTAACTCCCACCAAATGACTGGGGTACACCCTGCTAGACTTAAAAGGAGCCATCCCAGAAACAGAGGGGGACCTTACTATCACCAATAAGAGATGGGAGTGGATTGTGTCCTTTGGACCTGGGATCCCTCCTAGACCCAGATAACAAGAGAGCTATAATACTGGAAACCACAAGATGGTGAGACACAGGGGTAGAGAAACAGCAGCTGCAGAATCCACAGACCAAGAAAGGAGAAGGCAGTAGGCATCCTGGTCCAAGGAGCAAGGCGGTTACAGTGCATGTGTGGAAAGACCTCAGGCACTAACTGCCCGGCCAAGGGGTAGAGAGAGGCCTGTCTACAGGTTCGGTTGAGGAGAGGCTGACCTAACTAAACAAGGAACTGTACCCTGAACTGTTCCTGATCCTGTGTGGCACTGAGGGATAATGCAATGGACTGCAAGGTCTGTTTGAACAGCAAGGTCAGCAGTTCAGATTCACCAGCCGCTCCTTGGAAATCCCATACAGGGTTGCTATGAATTCGAACTGACTCGATGGCACTTAACAACAACAATAAACTCCATAACTATGTTTATGATCTGAGAATTCTATGTGGTCACTGCAACAAACTATGGAAACCAGTAGAGAAGAGCGCTGTTGGGAGACACCTGGCGCTGGAATTGGTGAAAGGATTGAAGAGGAGATTCCATCTCATGGGAATCAGCACACACACACACACACACACACACACACACACACACCCCACCCCCATGTGAAGCTAGATGAGAAGGCTGGAGGAAGCAAGTCCACCCCCTGCCATTCGTCATTCTGTGTTTTGCGTGCTGCTGTGAGGCTGGGAGCTATGCTGCCAGTATTTCAAGGGTCACCCATCATGAACAGGTTTCAGTGGAACTTCCAGACTAAGACTAGGAAGAAAGCCTTGGAGTCTATTCCTGAAAATTAGCCAGTGAAACTCTATGGAGTCACAACAGAATGTTTTTCCATGTAGTGCTAGAAGATGAGGCCCCCAGATTGGAAGGCATTCAAATACAGTGGTGGCAACGATGGACTCAGGCAGACCAACAATAGTGAAAATGGAGCAGGACTGAGCAATGCTTGTTTCTGTTATGCATGGGGTTGCCCTGGATGGAGGTGACTGGGCAGTAATTAACAATATATCAAATGCCAACTTTCCTAAGCCCTGGGGCCAGGCACTTAACATGCACCGTCTCTGATTTCAGACAATTCTGAGGTAGGGACGAATTAAAAACCTTTTATAGATGAGGAAACTGAGGCCCTGAAGGGCACTACCCTATCAGAGTACCCCAGCAACCAATGGAGCCAGCACATGTGGTTAGGCTGCCCCCCTGCTTCCTCCCACTGTAGCACAGGGCTCTCCTCCCTCCTCTCTCACACCTAACCAGTAAAGAGGTGTCAGGTCATCAGACTCTCTTGAGAAGGTTGGAGCAGGAGAAGTGTGTTCAGCCTGCTATGTAATTTGCAGGGCCTAGTGTAAAATGTAACTGCAATGCCCTTGTTAAGAAATTAAGAATTTCCGGGGGGGGGGGGTGGTGGTGGAGGGCACTGCAGTTCACACAGCCATGCAATGGGCACGGACCCCTGAAGCTGAAAGCTAGAATCTGGGGACTCCACCCACCCCAGCTGACAGCCTGGAGCCCCACAACCCTAGTCCCTCAGTCTCTAGATGAAGGAAGTAAAGAAAGGAGGGAGGGAAGGAGTGGGGGATGAAGTTACTCTCCTGGCCCTTGCTAATTATTTTAGGCCTTCTGGTACAGGAGCCAGCCACTTAAGGCTCGGCTCCTGGATAGAACTCAGCTGGGACCGCTCCAGGTTCAGCCACTCAGTGGCTGACTTCACCTAGTGGTTTCACCTCATCTGTAAGATGCTGCTAACACCAGTTCCCAATCCCTAACTGCTAGCAGGTGAGTGTCAAATTTTCCCACTACACTAGCTAAAGGCCATGCTGGGAGCCTCACCACAGCCCACTTTGCCCCAGGAGCTGCCCTATGCCTGCCTTCCTTCCTTGTAGAGGACCCAAGTGTAGTGTTAACAGGGAATGTATTGGCAAAGTCTTTGACATTTAACTCAGGGACCAGAGAGACAGCATGGGATGAAAGAATTTCCTTCCCACCTTACAAACATTTTCTCTCAGGCATGCAGGGCTTTCCTCTCCTGGGGGCAGGGTGGGGATCTCAAAGAAGCACCTTAGAGTTTACTGGGTCACATGAAGTTCAGGGGCCAGACCCCAGGAGGATCCTAGCCCAGATCCAGACCCAGGGAGATAACACATCATGCCCAGAAGCTATTACTAAACATTCAAATCAAAGGTTCAACAGAAGAATTCTGATCAAGTGGGCAGAAATGCCAGAGAGTTTCCATTTTTCATGAAATCCAGACTATCTGGAACACTGAGGCTACTGCCCTTAAGAAAATCTCTACACCTTAAACCAAAAATCAGCCCCTGAAATCTTTAAACCAGACAACATTGTTGTTGTTAAGTGTTGTTGAGTCAGGTCAGCCTCATAACCACACAGTACAATAAGGTTTCCAAGGAGCAGCTGTGGGGGTTTGAACTGCCAACTTTGAGGTTAGCAGTCCTGTAATTATCTTACAGCTTCACACCAGAAGCCCAAATCAAACAATTGTTTAGCTTAATTAGTAAAGGATATCTTGAGCATGGAGTTCTGTTTAAAGACCCATCTAAATGGGATCAAATGGACAATAGCAAAGATTACAACATAGGAACCTTAGGGACAATGAGTTTATGTTAATGGGGAAGGAACTATTTGAAAAGGCGGGTGACAGTGGACATACACCTTGAAGATTGTACTCAATGTCAAAGAATTGTACAGGTAGAAATTGTGAACTGGTGTATGTTCTAAGTATTTTCAACAACAATGAATAATAAAATAAATTATTTTAAAAAATTTTCAAAGAGGAAAAAACCCCACAAAAAACAGAAGTCCAGTTGGCCACTAGCTTGGGAGGAGACCACAGGCCTCAGCCTGCCCTCAAATCAACAGGTAGTGGCAGGGAGGGGAGCCTCAACCCCCACCCCCAGACATTTGACCACACACACAGGTGTCAGAAAACACATTTACCCGTACACTCCTGAGATGACCCTGACAGTCACATTTCCACTACCCCTTTGCCCAACAAACTCCAAGCTTTTGGCTGCCCCGACCAGGGCACTGGCGGCAGGACACTCAGCCTGGGAGGTGTGGCACTAAAGGCAGGGGGAGAAAGGAAGGACCACGGCCAGCACAAGGTCCAAAGTCCTGATGCTGGTGAGCGGAGGGGCCAGCAGTTCCAGGGGCAAAGGACACTTGACAGACCTGGAGGTGAGATCACTTGGGAAGTTAGATGGGGAGGAGGGTGCAGAAGTTGCCACGCCCCTGCCAAGTCCCTCTCAAGTCATAAAGCTGGAGATGGTTCCAAGTTGTCCCTAGTGTGAGGCAGGAAGGGACCTTCTGTCCACCCAGCAACTGGCAGGAGGTAGGATCCATAAATTAAATGTTTCTGGTAGAGTATGGTAGTCTCGATGGAACAGAAGCCTGGCGAAGACATGGTGGCCAGTGGGGCTACAGAGCCCGCCAAGACGGATGGGCGAACACAATGGGCTTCTTCTTGGCCCAGCGGGAGAAGACAGCCTTCTCGGTGATGAAGCGGTGGGCGCTGCGGGGTGCCCGTTCATGCGCCAGGTACATCTGACACTCATCCAAACGTCCTTTCTCGAAGTAGTGGTAAGGCACCGAGGGTTGGCTCTTCTCTCTGCAGGGTGGGAACAAGGCTGGGGAGTCAGACACCAGACCTTGTACCTCACCACAACCACCCTTCAACAGGTACTCCTGGCTGTCCTGAAGGAGGCCAGCACATGTGGGGAGGAGCAAGCAGCCTACAGATCCAGTCTACAGGCCAGATCTGCCTCTTGCAAGTTGAATGACACTAGGTACATGTACCCATGGTGAGGTTCAACACTCCATCTGTAAAATGCGGATGGAGATAGCCATCTTCCCGGGTGAGTGGGTAGGTCAAAAAGATGAGGACTGCAAAGTACCTTCACACCCGCAGAACAGAGCAGCCAGCCCTGTATACCCACCTGCCCACCAGGAGTGTGCCTGCCAGCAGTCTGGCCTGTAACCATGCAGGGGCACACAAGTTCCAGCTGTCGCAACCAAGTCTTGACTAAGAAGTTCCAGAGAGAATAGAGGGTGAAAACACGGGATCTTTTCTTGCTAGCTATAATTAATTATAATAATAATACAATAAACCCACTGCCATCGAGTTGATTCCAACTTATAGGGACCGTATGTAGCGTTTCCAAGGCTGTCAGTCTTTCTATAGGAGCAGAAAGCCTCCTCTCTTCTTCCAAGGAGCAGCTGGTAGATTTGAACTGCTGACCATGTAGTTAGTAGCCCAAAGCATAACTCACTACGCTACTAGGGTTCCTAATAGCAACATTACAAAATACTAATTTGAACTAGTCTGAAATATAATATTAAATCATATTTAAAAGAAACAGTAAATATTAATGAGTAATGTTTAATACTTAGTGTAAGTATTGGACTCCTGGTGTGGCACTGTAGTATCGGCACTGGACTGAGAACCAAAAGGTTGTCAGTTCAAATCCACCAGCTGCTCCTCAGAAACCCTATATAGGGTCACTGAGTGGCATCTGACTAGTATAAATATTAAATAAGAATAAACAGTAAAAAGGCATAATAATACTATTAAAAGGAATGACATATAATCTATAACTGATAGTAAGTACTGATCCTGGTGCTAGTACTGTGCCAAGTGTAACTATTGCTGCTGAGTGCCATCAACTTGGTTCTGACTCATAGCAACCCTGCATAGGGTTTCTAAGGAGCAACTGGTGGGTTTGAACTGCCGACCATGTGGTTCACAGTCCAGCGCTGATCCTCCAGCGCCACACCAGGAGTACTTCAGCAGATTATTCACTATTGTAGCTCTGTAGGATAAGCACGGGACTGCTAACCGCAAGGTCAGTGGTTCAAACCTATTGGCTGGTCCTTGGAAATTCTATACATGATCACTATGAGTCAGAACCTACTCAGAGGGCGCTTAACACCAGCACCACTAAATATTTCAAGGAGTCCATGGGGAATGTAAATGGTTGATGCACTCAGCTGAGAACAGAAAGGTTGTAAATTGAGTCTACCCTGAAGTACCTCAGAAAAAAGGTCTAGAAAATTACTTCCAAAAATTCAGCCACTGAAAACCCTATGGAACACAGTTCTACTCTGGCACACATGGGTTTTCTTGAGTTGGAATCAACTTGACTGAAAGTGGTTACTGGTTAACTGTTTCAAGAACATTCTGAGGAAGCCGCTGTTCTTTGTTTCTATGGGAGGAGATTAAGGCTAGGGAGGGGGCATGAGCAGCCCAAGACCACACACAACAGAGCTGAGGCTGAGCTCTTTCTCTCTTACCCCTACCCCTTGGCCACCTTGAAGCCCAAACAACCTGTACTATCTGAGCTCCTTGCTCTTCCAGCTGGAGGCCTGGACAGGGGTCCCGATCCTCACCACCCTGCCCTCCCGCCTGGCTTGGCCAGCCTGACCTGCAGTAGCTGTCGCTGACCATTCCATAGACCACGATCTCCTCACACATCTCCAGGGCAAGGATCATGGTGAACCAGCCGGTGCTGAGAAACGAGCCCGACTGCCTCCTGCAGGAAAAGGGACCTGTCAGCCACAGTAAACTCAGAGGAAGGGCCCCTGCCATGGCTCACTCACAACCTAGGGTGACCTTAACCTCTAAGGAGGGGATCCTGACCTGTCAGCCACAGTAAACTCAGAGGAAGGGCCCTGCCATGGCTCACTCAAGACCTAGGGCCACTGACCTTAACCTCTAAGGAGGGGGATCCTGAGGAATGCTGGGAAGAGACAGGGCAAGTCCAAGGACAGCAATAGACAAGACGCAAACAACCAAGGTCTGGCCAACTCCTCCCCACCCAAGAAAAGCTTAAGCCAAGCCATATTTGGAGCAAACCTCCAGGATAGTTGGTGTGGGGGCCCTGCTTGGGGTGACAGCAGGAGGAAACAGAATACAATGGGGCGGTGTGTAGAATGTCTGGAGCCAACAAGTAACCTCTCTGAGCACCAGACAGCCAGCTGTGAAATGGGGATAACCGTAAGTCCTACTCACAAACTGACACTAACCAGGCCCAGTGTTGGCCCTGAACTGGCTACACCTGGTACAGGGGGCAGTTGGGCAACAGACATCTTAGTAGGACAATGTCAAAGGGGGACAGTTGCTGGGAAGACAAGGAAACCAGGTAACTGGACAGGAGGCGCTCTTTCAGATGGGCTGGTTGGGGAGGGCTTCTCAGTGGTGACATTTCATCTAAATCTGAACAGCAAGAAAGATATGGGGGGAGAACATTCCAGGCTGAGGGAATAGTATGTGCAAAGGCCCACAGGTGGGACAAGTACAGTCATACAAGGAAGCCCAGATGACCAATACAGTTGGAGCAGAGTGAGTGTACGGGAGATGAGGAGGGGCCCAGTTTACACAGGGATCATGGGTCATGGCAGGAAATAAGTGCAGAGTCCCAACTTTCTTCTCTGTGTGATGAGAAGCTGCTGTAGGTCTGAGGGCAGGAGGCTGACAGGATGGATTTCACTGGGGAAGCCGGAGGAGGAGTTCAGACTACAGGGACAAGAATGGCAGCAGGGAGACCACCGAGGGAACTGCTGCAAAGGCAAAGAGCCAGTGGGATGGCTACAGAGTCACATCAAATGAGGGAGTCCAACTCAGTTTGGGGCCACAAAGTTGGAGAGGGACAGTCCCATTTTCTGGGCTGAGGAGACTGAGATAGGAGCAGATGTGAGGATGAGGGGGACGGGAGGAGACCTGAGTGTTCTTGGGATATGAAACAAAGTGAAATCTGCCTGGCGTGTGAAGAAGGCTGTTATTACACTGTAAGTTTCATGATCTGGAAGGGACTTCAGGGACCAATTCAGATCTCAGAACATCCCCTGGTGAGGGAAACCCTCCCTGGCAGTTCCCCACAACACACACCAGCCAGTTCTGTCCCATCATGAGATCAGGTCAAACACCCTTGCCTCCACTGGGGATTCTACATTTGTGTGATCTTCATTATCGGACAAGACCACACTGCCTCACCCGGTGATGGATAGATACACAAGAGGCTGCTGGCCCAGACTCACCGGTTCTTGCCTGTCTCATCCTGGAAGACCTGGTCGCAGTATGCCATCATGCGCTCGGTGAAGGTGTACATCCGTAGGCCTGGGTACATCTGAGTGAGCTGCAGCAGTGTGCGGTACGTGCGGCCGCCGAGCGCCCGGTCCATATGCCTGCCCTGACCCCACACCACGTAGAGCGTGTCTCGGGCCTGCTGAAAGTAGTGTGAGTAATTGCGCAGCAGCAGCGGCACACTCGTGTGCGAGATCACGCGCAGGGTGCTGCGCCGGCCCACGTCTGCCTCGAAGCCCACTGTAGGCGCCTGGTTCATGCGTAGCACACACTCAGCTCTGTCAATCTCAGCTCCCAGGCCTGAACCCAGCATCTGGCCAGAACTGGACACCACGGCACAGCTACGGCATGATTCTCGGACCAGTGGCTGCAGGGGATGGTAGAAAGGGAGTCCTGCACATAGGTTCCACTGACCTGCTGTTCTACCCAGTACCACCCACTGACCTCTCTTAATTGTGTTTCAGCTCTAAGTACTGTTATCAGATGAGGCTGGGCAGGAGGAAGGTCACACTGACATCTCTTCTGACAGTCAGTGCTTTCTGCTGGCCACCTTTCTTGCCTTTGAGCCTCTGCTTTTTCTCAGTGTGGACACTAGCAGTAATTATGTCATGGATTCCTTATGAGGGTTACATCAGCAGAAAAAAACAAAATTTTTTTAACAGCAGCAAATACACGAGGGGGCTTCCAAAAATTCATGGAAAATCTTTTCATTCTGTTTTTCCACATACTTTTTAAAAAAAAAACTGTGAATTGAGTGAAGGTTTACAGAGCATATCATCAGTTTTACATTCAACAAATCATACATTTCATTTCAACTCAATGATTTCAATCCCCTCAGTGCCTGGCGTAACTGGATGCCAATCGTTTGTTGATGTTAAATGCCATTGACTCAGTTCTGACTCATAAAGACCCTGTAAATGGTTTCCCAGGAGCAACTGGTAGATTTGAATCACCAATCTCGTGGTGAGCAAGTCAGCACTGCTTCTCCTACAGCACCACACCAGGTTGCCATACTAGGATTCATTGAGGAAACATGAACCTCAGCTCTTCTCGACTACCCATAGGTTACTACTACTTGCCTAGTCCAAGCCTGCCCACGTTGTGCTCAGTTTATAAGCAGAACAGGGTCTTCCGTGCCCCCAACAGGGTTGGGAACCTCTAGTTCTAAGCCTGAATCTGGCTCTGCCTCTCCTAGTTATGTGGCCTGGGGCAAATCACATTGCCTCTGTGGGCCTCAATTTCCTTATCTGTAAAATGGGGTGAAAGTAGCATTTACTTGATAGGGTTATGAAGATTAAATTTTAAACGCCTGTACTAACTTGTTATTGTTGCTAGGTGCCTGTACTAACTAGAGGGTTGTTATTGTTAAGCGCCATGGAAGTCAGTTTCGGCTCATAGCAACTCTGTATAGGATTTTCAAGGCTGCATATCTCTATGGGAGTAGAAAGTCTCATCTTTCTCCTGCAAAATGGCTGGTGGGCTTGAACCGCTGACTTTGTGGTTCACAGACCAGGGTTTATCCTACAGAGCTATCCACCGTACTCCATGTTAGGGCAGACACATATTAACTTGTGTGAATGGGGAAGACAGTAAATAATAAGAGGGAAGTCTGCAAAAAATGATGGAGGCAAAAGAAGATACTGGAAGGAATATAAGAGTTAAGGGTGGGGACATGGAGAGAGGGAGCAGCTGAGGACTCTACTCTGGATTCATGGGAAGAGACGCACTGAGAGCTGGCAGCCAGGAGGGAGACTTGCAGAATGTGCCCTTAGGTGGTGTAAATTATTATATATGCCTAAGTGTTTAAAAAAATAAAAAGAGCTGAAATGAATAGAGAGAAATACTGTTAACTGATGGTACATGGAGGGAATTATAATCATTGTAATCAAACAAAGTATATGATTTGTTGAATGTAAAACTGATGACCTGCCCTTTAAGTAAAAAAAAAAAAAAAGATGAGTTAAAGGCAACAGAGATAAGTACTATCATGTACACACAGCTACAATAGCAATAAGCTACAAATGGATGCACAGATAGACACGCAGGGTGAACAGCTATGGAAAGGAGAATGAGACTATCTAGATCCATGAATATAAATAGGTTTGAGAGAGGGTATTTCTATATAAGCATTTACCTAGGCTGCAAAAAAAACACAAAAACACAGGGGGTACAAAGTAATGAAAACTTCTTGGTGGTGGTGGTTATGTGCCGTGGGGTCGGTTCCGACTCATAGCAACCCTATATACAGGATTTCCGTGGCTGTAAATCATCACGGGAGCAGAAAGTCTCATCTTTCTCCCACAGATTGGCTGGTAGTTTCGAACTGCTGACCTTGTGGTTCACAGCCCCATTCGTAGCCATTACGCTACCAGAACTCCTTAGCTCTAACCAGATACCTTGAAGGAATTAATCACTGGGCCTAGGGGCTCAGGACCATAGTCTCAGGGAACACCAAGGTCAAGTGACATAACATAGTCCACAAAGACCATGTTACACATCCTATTTTGGTGAGTGGTGACTAGTCTTAATAGATTGAGAGCGTCACCTAAGGTCCAACTATTGGTCTCTGCCTGTCTGGAGGAAAGAAAAGTAAAGAAAATTGAAGACTCACAGAAACAATTAGTCCAATGGCCTAATGGACCACATGAACCTCAGCCTCCCACAACCCTGAGACTAAAATAACTAGTTGTTACTGGCTAAAACTATCCACTGCTCTGGAAGGGATCACATTTGAGAGTCCTGGACAGAGTGGGAGAAAAATGTTAAACAACACTCAAAATCATAAAACAGACTAAGCTTCCTGGTTAGAGAGAGATGGTGGAGACCTCAAGACTGTGGTCCTCAGTCATCCTTCAGTCCTGGAAGTGAACTCACCCTTTGGCTCAATTTTAGCCAAACAACTGATCGCTCTATAAGGGGAACAGTAACACTAGAGGGGTACACACGCCTTAGAATAATCAACCATTGGAGATCAAAAGGGCAGCATTGGCCCAAGGACAAAGTTCAAAGGTCAGGAAAGGTTAAAAAGAAGGAGGAAGGGAAACAGGAAACAAAGGGCGGTAGTGGGAGAAGTGATGTTACACTGTGGGGACTGCAATCTATGATGAAAGAAAACGTGAATGAATTTCTGAATGGACAACTGATTTGCTCTGTAAACCTTTACCCAATTTACAATGAAAAGTTAAAAATAAAAAAATGCTTGGAGTGTGATCAGCACAGACATAGGACACAGTAAGCCCCTCTTTCGAATTACTCCCCACAAAGAGAAGTTAATAGGTCTCAGACATCTACTAGGGATGAAATATCATGGTTCCCAGAGAAAGATTGCCTCTGATCTCATATGGGTCTAAGGAAGCCCCACACAGGACATGGAGACATTAATCTATGCAATACAAGGGACACTGTTACATCCTACTCAGGGACATTTAAAATCTAATATAGTATTGATTTAAGGATACATAGACCCTGAAAGTATAATACTCTCTGTGATAGGATAATATCCATACACCTACAAAATAGACCGGTTAATATCCCTATTATTCAAATTTACACACCAAACACTAAAGCCAGTGATAATAAAATGGAAGAATTTTACCAAGTTCTTCAGTCTGAAATTGATTAAACATGCAATCAAGATGTATTGAAAATTACTGACGACTGGAATGCCAAGATTGGAAACAAAGAGGAAGGATCAGTAGTTGGAAAATATGGCTCTAGTTATAGAAATGATATTGGAGATTGCATGATAGGATTTTGCAAGACCAATGACTTCTTCATTGCAAATACCTTTTTTCCCCCCATTATTGAGAGAATACTTTATTAATATCTATAATCAAACTCATGTAGACAAGACCTCACATATTTAATAGAGTGCGTTACCCCTGTACAAATGGAAAAAAAAAATAACTTTAATGTTTCTAGACCAATAACAAATACTTCTTTTAAACAATAAAAAATGACTATACACCCAGGATCTGACAGTGTTTTGTTCTGCTGTGCATAGGGTCGCTATGAGTTGGTACCGACTCGATGGCACATAACAACAAAATACACATGGACCTCACCAGATGAAATACACAGAAATCATATTGACTACATCTGTGGAAAAACTCCATATCAGCCAAAACAAGACCAGTGGCAGACTGTGGAACAGACCATAAATTGTTCATATGCAAGTTCAGGAGGTTCAAGATTACTGGCTGCTCCTCGGAAATCCTATACAGAGTCGCTATGAGTTGATACCGACACAGCGTCACTTAACAACAACAGCAAGGGCAAAATCACTGTAGGATAATGCAATGAACTGAAAGGTCTGTTTGAACTGCATGGTCAGTGGTTCAAATGTACCAGCTGCTCCTCAGAAACCCTATACAGGGTCACTATGAGTTGGAATTGACTCAATGGCACTTAACATCATCAACAACATGGGCAAAATATTGAATGATGCAGGAAGCATCAAAGGAAGATGCAAGGAATACACAGTCACTGTACCAAAATTAAATGGTTAATGTTCAACCATTTCAAGAGGTAACATATGATCAAGAGTCAGTGATACTGAAGGAAGATGTCCAAGGTACACTGAAGGCATTAGTAAAGAAAAAGGCTCCAGGAATTCATGGAATACAAGTTGAAATCTTTCAACAAACCGATGCTGCACTGGAAGCACTCTATGCCAAGAAATTTGGAAGACAGTTACCTGGCCAACTGATTGGAAGAGAGCCATTCCAAAGAGAGGTTACCCAATGGAATGTAGAAATCATTGCACAATATCACTAATATTTCACGCAAGTAAAATTTTGCTAAAGATATTTCAAAAACAGCTGTAGCGGTATAGGGCCAGATTCAGACAAGGACATGGAATGAGGGATATCATTGTTGATGTACGATGGATCTTGGCTGAAAGCAGAGAATATCAGAAAGATATTTACCTGTGTTTTACTGACTATACAAAGGCTTTTGACTGTGTGGATCATGACAAGCTATGGACAACATTGTGGAAATTGAGTATTCTAGAACACTTAATGGTGCTCATGAGGAACCTGTACACAGACTAAGAGGCAGTCGTTTGCACAGAACAAGGGGACACTGAATGTTTTTAAATCATGAAAGGTGTGCATCAGGGTTGTATTCTTTCACCATACTTATTCAGTCTGTACACTAAGCAAACAATCTGAGAAGCTAGATTATATGAAGTGGCATCAGGATTAGAAGACTCATTAACAACCTATGATATGCAGATGACACAACTTTGCTTGCTGAAAGCAAAGAGGACTTAAAATACTTACTGATGAAGATCAAAGACCACAGCTTTTAGTATTGGTTGCACTTTAATGCAAAGAAAACATAAAACCTCACAACAGGACCAATAAATATTATCAAGATAAATGGAGAAAAGATTGAGATTGTCAAAGACTGCATTTTGCTCAACACTCAGGGAAAGGAAGCAGAAGTTAAGAAATCAAATGACATGTTGCATTAGGCAAATCTACTGCACAAGACCTCTTTAAAGTGTCAAGAGCAAAGATGTCAGTTTGAGGACTAAGGTGTGCCTGATCCAAACCATAATATTTTCAATAACCTCATATGCATGTGAAGTTGGACAATGAGTAAGGAAGACCATAGAAGAATTGATACATTTGAGTTATGGTATTGGAAGAGAATACCACAAGTACCATGGGCTATCAGAAGAACAAAACAAATCTGTTTTGGAAGTATAGCCAGAATGCTACTTAGAAGCCAGGATGGCCAAACTTTGTCTTTCATACTTAGGACATATTATCAGGAGGGATCAGTCTCTGGTGAAGGACATCATGCCTGGTAAAGTGGAAGGTCAGCAAAAAAAGAGGAAGACTCCAGTGAGATGGGTTGGCTCCACAGAACAAAGCACCTAGTGATCTACTCTTATAAAGATTACAGCCTAGGGAGCCCTATGGGGCAGTTCTACTGTTATATAGGGTTACTATGAGACAGGATTTTCTCTATGGCACCCAACAACAGGGCCAGTTTCTATAACCCACAATGAAGAACAAGACTTCATTATGCTGTACTCATTTTGGGCCATCCTGACAATCGAGGATTACTATAATTTCCCAAGAAGTGTTCTTTCTACTTGTGTCCAATGAGGCCTTTTAATTTTTCAATTAGTTTCCAACTTCTAAAAATTGGTCCTGATACCATGGTCATTTGGTATCACATAGTCCACAAAGACAATGTTCTATCATCCTTCTTTGGTGAGTAGCAACTGGGGTCTTAAAAACTCATGAAAAGCTATCTAAGGTGCAACTATTGGTCTCTCCCTGACCAGAGGAAAGAAGAGTGATGGACTGAAGATGCTTGGAAATGATTAGTCCAATGTACTGATGGATCACATGATTATTAGACTCCACAATCCTGAAACTGGAACTAGATGGTGTCTGGCTACCACTACCAACTGCTCTGAAAGGGAGCACATTAGAAGGTCCTGGAGAGAGAAGAATATGTGGAACAGAACTCAAACTTTAAAAGGCCAGACACACTGATCAGATAGAGACTCGTGGAACCCTGAGACTATGACCCTCAGTCACCCTTCAGGTCTGGAAGTGAACTCACCCCTCTCACTTAATCTTCAGCTAAGCAATAGATAGGTATATAGAGGGGACAACAATCCTAGGAAGGTATGCACACTATAGAATGGTCAACCATTCAGGATCAAAAGGGCAGCATTTACCTAAGAACAAAATTCAGAAGGGTGGGAAAGGAGAAAGAATGGAAACAAGAAATACAGGGAGGAAGTGGAATAGGTGATACTACATTGAAGGGATTGCAATCATTGAGATGAAACAAAGTATATGATTTGTTGAATGTAAGACTAATGATCTGCTAAGTAAACCTTCACTCAATTCAAAATAAGTTTAAAAAAATTTTTTTTAATATACATTTTTTTTTTTTTTTAAATTGGTCCTGACATTCAAAACCTGGATTCTTGGCTTCTCTTTAAAAAACAGAGTACGTGATCACCCCAGGCCTTCATATCCATGAGGCTCCAGAATGTCTGGTCTGAACATTAGCTGCACCCATGGTAGATGGGACAGGGTCCACTCAGTCTAATTGGCCATTCATTCCACCTGACCAATCCTGTGGGCATTCACGTTTGCACCTTCACCCACCCCACCCCATTGGTTTGTTTCGTCATTGATTATTTATCTAGCACCTGTTCTGAACACTGTAGAATTATCCAGTTTAATCTTCACAGCGACCTAACCAAGACAGGTGCTGCAATGGCGATCTTTTACAGATGAGGAAGCAACTGAGACACACAGAGATGATTCAAAATTTGTCTCCTCCAAGCCAGGGTCCATGAGTCCTCCAACTCAAACTGGGAGCTTTCTGCACTATGTTCATATGGGATGCTTTTGAAAGCACTCACTGGATAAGAAATATGGGGCCGCTGAAATCAGCGTGAGAGAGTAAAGTGTCCCCACCAGGCCGAGCAGAGCAAGGATGAGGAGGTGGGCACTGTGGAGCAGCAGTCATAGCTGACTCGTCACCCCAGGGTCCAGCTCTGGGGTTGAGTGTGGCTTCTATCTGTGTCCTCTTTCTATCTCCAGAAGCTTTCAGCACAAGGCCCAACACATCTCAGGTGCCATATACATGCCAAGTGAATGCCTGGGTTAAATGTGTGGAAGATAACGCTAAAGATGTAAAGCATGCACATAACACAACATGATCTGATGGTCTCCTCCACTCGACTGGGAGTTCCAAGCAGGCAGCCACGCTGTCTGACTCCTTTTTATCTGCAGCACCCAGCTCAGAGCAGCCAGGCTCAAAGAGGTGATGCGATGGTAAAGGTCACAGAGCAGGCGGGCCAAGGTCACAGAGCGGGTGGGCCAAGGAGCCAAGCCTGGGGTCTGGGTCGACTTGGCATAAGCTCAGGTATCAGTCCCCCAGTTTGGAGGAAGAGATTAGCCTATGGCTAGGCTCGCCCCCAATTTGTTGCCTGACTGACTCACCTTCCCATCTGGTACACTGCTATATCCACTGAAGTGCAGGGGTCCTGGCACAGTGGGCCTAGAATGAGTGGAGAGGTGGGGTTCCAGGCAGGAGGCCAGGCAGAGGGGCAGGCAGGCCCAGCCGCACATTAGGAAGTAGACAGCAGACAAAACCAAAGAGCCCAGGATGATGAGCAGGATTCGACCCTAAGGGAAACAGCGGTCATGGTGGGGAAGCACAGGAAAGAGGGGTGGTCCCTGGGGATCTCAAAATCTCAGCAGTAGGCTATGAGAGCAGTTGTTTCATAGATCCAGACCCCGGTTTAGCAGCTTCTTGATATGAGCAGAATCTACTGGGCCTTACTCTAGGTTGCCAGGCTCCAGGAACATGAGGCCCTGGAGGTCAGCTCCATCACTATCTCAGTATTCTGGGTAAGAACACGGATTTGGGGTGAGCTGTATGGTTCAAAATTACACAGCAACGAAGTGGCAACATGAGGTCGCAAATCCAAGTTGCAGAACCCATGCTCATAACTCAACGCCCGAGTGGACTTTGCAGCCTTGAATATGACTGTCTTCCTCCTCCACGAGCTGGAGACAGCATTACTGCAGTGTAGACTTGTGGGAATGGTGGTTATCTCAGTTACCAAGTGCTGCTAAAACAGAAATTCCACACATGGTGGCTTTAACCAACAGAGAGTTATTCTCTCATAATTTAAGAGTCTAAAAGTTCTAATGGCGTCCTAGAGTGGTGCTGTAGGATCAGCACTGGACTGCCAAAAGAAGGTTGGCAACTCAAACCCACCAAGCTGCTCCTTGGAAATCCTACGCAGGGTTGCTATGAGTTAGAACTGGCTCAACAACACATAACAACGGAAGTCCTAATACAGGGGGCTACCTCCAAGGGAAGGCTTTCTCTTTCTGTCAGCTTTGGAGGAAGGGACTTCCTTCTTCAGCTTGTTTCCTGGTTCCTTGGAGATCTCCATATTGCTCAGCATCAATTCCTCCATTTCTACTTCCTTCAGGATTACTTGTTTAATCTCTTTTATATCTCAAAAGAGATGGACTCAAAGTACTCTCTAAACTAATCCTGACCATGACCATAACAAAAACAAGCCATTCCCAAATGAGATGATAAACACAGGAGGAACCCAAACCAAATCCGCGGTCTTAGAGTTGATTCTGACTCACTGCATTCCCCTAGAGGGTTTCTGAGACTGTAAATCTTTACAGGAGCAAATAGCCTCATCTTTCTCCTGTAGAGTCGCTGGTGGGTTTGAACTGCTGACTTTGTGGTTAGCAGTCTAGTGCTTATCCTACAGTGACACCAGGGCTCTTTAACTACAGATATTTGTTAGGTGTGGCCAAGTGTGCTCAGACTCATAGCAACCCTATGCACAACAGAGCGAAGACAATGCCCAAGGCATCCTCACAATCGGTACGCATAAAGGTTATGTTTACAACACGTATTTTGGGGGGTCACAATTCAATCCAGAATATGGTGAAAGTATTCAGTATACTGTAAAGTCAAAAAGCTACCAGCTCCTTCAGCCCCTGGCCTGAGGCTACCCAACAAGGGCCCACCAACCCTACCCCATCCACCGTCCAACACAGTGTTTGTTCCCTTAGCCAATGATCATGATCTGGGTCAGCTGTCCAGGTGAATAAGGAAAAGGTAGAAGAAATGCAGGGCAAGTGTCATTCAAGAAATGTTTCAAAAATTTAAAAGCTGGCTGCCCAGCCTGCCTCTGTCCCGGCTCCCCAAATAACGTGCCAAAGGCTATTGGAACAAGGAAGCTCTCGTGGCAAACCCAGTAAGGAGCAGGGGCAGGACCCTGAGTCATGTGCTAGCACACCCTGGTCACCACCACCTGTCTCTCTGGGCTCCATATTTCTCCCAAGACACAGGTCCTTAACTGGCCCCTCAGAAACTGCCTAGTAGTTGGCTGGCGCTCTTTGAAAATCAGAGGTGGGAAAGCAACCCTCACCCACACACATCCTGCCAGCTGAGAGGCCCACCCTCTCCTGCCCACAAGCCACACCAGCTTCTAAAAATATTCCTGTGTGGCCAGCTGTGTGCAGTGGGTTCAGGAGTGGCACCTGGTCCCACAAGGAGCCCACAGACCTTGGCTTAAATCAAGTCGGTGTTGACTCCTTCTCCCAAAGTCTACTGAGTAGACAGGAGTAACTGACATCACTGAACTTTCACGACATATCCTGTTTCCAGGGGGGCGCCTAAGCTGGGTGACCTGCGGAAATGCTCATTGGAGGTGGGTATATTACCCCCTTTTTAAGAGGGTGAGGCATTGAACCAGAAAAGGGACACCACTTGCCTGGGGCCACACACACAGTCTAGTCTTTTCAGCCCAAGAGGGTGAGGTCATAAGTAGCACTCAGCCCTGGGATCAGAAGGAACCCTGAGTCCCCTGAGAGCCCTCTTCTTCCGCCACTTACCGGAGCCTTCATGCTGCCGCCCAGCAGCTAGCGTCTGCAGGGCTCTGGCCGGGACGAGGTGGGAGCTGGGTACCTGCCAAGACCCAAAGTCTCAGAGCCCAGCCGGGAAACTAAGGCAGGGGAGAGATCAGGCAGAAGTCCAGGTCAGATGGCGCCAGGAAATCAAATGCCTTAGAGCTCCCGAACTGCGGGTAGCACAGTCCCATCCTAAAGGAGCAGGAATTGGCGACCTTTAGGGGACCTCTCACCAATCCAACCCCCATTGTGTATATGGGGAAGAAGAGGCAGAGAGAGCCTTCCGCTCAAGGTCATTCATCGAGTCTGGAGCTGACAAAGGCAGGAGGTAGGATCCCGGGCTCCCATCCCATCTCTCCTACTCCACCACCACCCCCACTCGCGACACGCAAGGAAGGCGGGACGCGGGATTTCCAAACCGTCTTCCCGCCGCCCAAGATTTCACCGCTCCCTCCCCAGACCACATGCTAACGGAGCAAATAGGTTGGGGTGCGCTGCCAGCTGACGATCTGCAGCTCTGAGCTCCATGGTCCGCAGGGTAGGCGGGCCGGGCTAGGGCTGGAAACCGTAGCCCCAGGGGCGGAGGCGGCGCCCGGGCCGCAGAGTCTGGACGCTGAAAGCCGAACCTGCGCTGCCGGGGGCGTGGGCGGACTTTGCTAGGCAGGGGTGGAGCCTGCGCGACTGCGGGCGGGTTCAGCTACTAGCGTAGCCAGCGAGGCCAGGAGCCGGACGTGCGTGCCCAGCGGCAGGGCCTGTAGGCTGGAGGCGGGGCCTGCGGGCCGGGACAGGGCCTCAGCAGTCAGGGGTGGAGTCTGAGCCCCAGCACCACCCACTTATTTGACGCTGAGCTGTTTCTTCCAGGAAAGACCCCAGAGGAAAGTGATGGAAGGTGTTGGAACCACAGCCCAACAGCTGTCTGGCCTCAGTACTTTATTTGGGGGGCTGGGCAGAGAAATTAAGCAAGGGCTTGACATTAAGTAAGGTCTGTGGGTGGTGGAAAAAGTTTGCCTTTGACTGCTAACTTAAAGGTTGATGGTTCAAACCCGCCCAGTGATGCTGCAGAAGGAAGGCCTAGCGATCTGCTTTTGTAAATATTGCAGTTCTCTGGTAGCGTAGTGGTTACGAATTGGGCTGTGAACCTTAAGGTCAGTGGTTTGAAACTACCAGCTGCTCCGCGGGAGAAAGATGAGGCTTTCTACTCCCGTAAGGATTTACACCCTCGGAAACCCTGTTCAGGGTCGCTATGGGTCGGAACTGACTCGATGGCACTTAACAACAACAACTCTGTAACACCTGGGGTCATCATAAGTAAGAATCAACTGAATGACTATTTTTCTTTTTAAGTGGAGATAATAATAGCATCTGCTTCTGCAGTGCAGTGAATTAATTAACTCCCATCAAATAACTGGGTTGTTGTTGTTGTTATTGTTAGGTGCCATTGAGTTGGTTCCGACACAGAGCAACCCTATGTACAACTGAATGAAACTCTGCCCAGTCCTACACAGTCCTGACGACTGTTATGTTTGAGTCCATTGCTGCTGCCATGGTGCCGATCCATCTCCTTGGGAGTCTTCCTCTTTTTCGCTGACCCTCCACTTTATCAAGCATTATGTCCTTCTCCGGGGTCTTGTTGTTGTTGTTAGGTACCATTGAGTCGGTACCAACTCATAACAACCCTATGCACAACAGAACAAAACACTGCCCGATCCTGGACCAACCTCACAATTGTTGCCACAGTTGAGCCCATTGATGCTGCCACTTTGCCAATCCATCTCATTGGGGGTCTTCCTCTTTTTCTCTGACCCTCCACCTTACCAAACATGATATCCTTCTCCAGCGACTGATCCCTCCTGACAATATGTCCAAAGTATGAGAGCAAAGTTTGTCCATCCTGGCAGCAGATTTGCCTAATGCAATATGTCGTTGATTTCTTGACTGCTGCTTCCATGAGTGTTGATAGTTGATCCAAGAAGAATGAAGTCCTTGACAACGTCAATATTTTTTCCATTGATCAGAATGTTGTTTATTGGTCCAGTGGTGAGGATTTTTGTTTTCTTGACATTGAGATGCAGTCCATACCGAAGGCTGTGCTCTTTAATTTTCATCAGTAAATGTTTTAAGTCCTCTTCACTTTCAGCAAGCAAGGTTATATCATCTGCATATCACAGGTTGTTAATGAGTTTTCCTCCAATCCTGATGCCACGTTTTTCTTCATAGAACCCAGCTTCTCGTATTATTTGCTCAGGATACAGGTTGAATGTTGTTGCTATTAAGTACCATGGAGTTGGTTCCAACTCAGTGACTCTGCACAGGGTTTCCGAGGCTGTAAATCTTTACGGGAGCAGAATGCCTCATCATTCTCCCAAGGAACTGCTGGTGGTTTCAAACTGCTGTCCTTGAAGTTGGCAGCCCGACTCGTAACCACTATGCTACCAGAGCTCCTTACAGGTTGAATAAATATGGTGAAAGAATACAACTCTGTCACACACCTTTCTTAATTTTAAACCATTCAGTGTTCCCATGTTCTGTTTGAACAACTGTCTCGTGGTCCATTTACAGATTTCTCATGAGCACAATTAAGTATTTGGAATACTCATACTTCACAGTGTTGTCCATAGTTTGTCATGATCCACATGGAAAGCCTTTGCATAGTCAATAAAGCACTGGCCCCTCCTAAAAACATGTCCAAAGTACAAGAGATGAAGATTTACTATCTCTGTTTCTAAGAAGTATTCTGGCCATACGTTTCCCAAGATAAATTGTTTGTTCTTCTGGCAGTCCGTGGTACTTTCAATATTCTTCACCAACACCATAATTCAAATGCAAAGATTCTTCTACCATCTTCCTTATTCATTGTCCCAACTTTTCACATGAATACAAGATGATTGAAAACGCCATGGCTTGGGTCAGGCATACCTTAATCCTCAAAGTGACATCTTTGATCTAACACTTCAAAGAGTTCTTTTGCAGCAGATTTGCTTAATGCAATATGTTCTTTGATTTCTTGACTGCTCCTTCCATGAGTGTTGATTGTGGATCTAAGCAAAATGAAGTCTTCGACAACTTCAATCTTTTCTCAGTTTATCATGATGTTATTTATTGGTCCAATTGTGAAGATTTTTGTTTTATTTAGATTGAGCTGTAATCCGTACTGGAGGCTGTTGTCTGTGATCTTCATAAGTATTTTTAGTCCACTTCACATTCAGCAATCAAGGTTGTATTATCTGCATATTGCAGATTGTTAATGAGTCTTCCTCCAGTCCTGATGTTCTTCCTCATATAAACCAGTTTCTCAGATTATTTGCTCAGCATACAGATTGAATAAGCATGGTGAAAGACTGCAATCCTGGCACACACCTTTTCTGATTCTAAACCATTCACTATCTCTCTGTTCTGTTCTAACAACTGCTCTTGGTCTATGTACAGGTTCTCACAAGCAAGTGTTCTGAAATACCATGCAATTTTATCCATAGTTTGTTATGATCCACACAGTCGAATTCCTTTGCATAGTCAATAAAGCATAAGTAAACATCCTTCTGGTATTCTCTGCTTTAAGCCAAGATCCATCTGACATCAGCAATGATATCTCTCATTCTGAAACCAGCTTGAATTTTTGGCAGCTCCCTGTCAACATACTGCTGCAACCATTTTTGAATTATCTTCAGCAAAATTTTACTTGCTATGTAATATTAATGATATTGTTTGATGATTTCTGCACTCCATTGGGTCGCCTTTCTTTGGAATGGACTCAAATATGGACCTCTTCCAATTGGTTGGCCAGGTAGCTGTCTTCCAAATTTCTTGGTACAGACCTGTGAGCACATCAGTTTGTTGAAACATTTCAATTTGTATTCCATCAATTTTTTGGCGCCAATGCCTTTTGCACCTGTGCCTTCAGTACAGCTTGAACTTCTTTTAATACCATCAGTTCTTGATCATATGGTACCTCCTGGAATGGTTGAACATCAACAAATTGTTGGTACAGTGACTCTGTGTATTCCTCCCATCTTGTTTTTTATGCTTCAAACATCATTCAGTATTTTGCCTATTGTTGTTGTTAAGTGCCACTGAGTCTGTTCCAACTCACAGCCACCCTTTATAGGGTTTTTGAGAAGTAGCTGATGGGTTTGAACTGCCAACCTTGTGGTTAGCAGTCCTGTGCTTATCCTACAGCGCCACACCAGGACTCCTTCAATATTGCACCCTAAGGCTTGAATTATTTTCCTCAGTTCTTTCAACTTGAGAAATGCTGAGCATGGTCTTCCATTTTTGTTTTCTGTCTGCAGGTCTTTGCACATTTCATATACGTGACTTCATTTTTGCAAGCTGCCCTTTGAAAATTTCTGTTCAGCTCTTTTACTTCATTTCTTCCAGTCACTTTAGCTTCTCTACGTTCAAGAGCAAGTTTCAGAGTCTCTTCTGACATCCACTTCGTTCTTTTTTTTCCCTGTCTTTTAAATTATCTTTTGTTTTCTTCATGTATGATGTTCACCACTCTTCAGGTATTTGGTCACTAGTTTCTAATGCATCAAATCTGTTCTTGAGATGACCTCTAAATTCAGGTTACTTAAGGGTCACTGTGGGTTTATTGGTTGGAACTGATTCGACAGCACTTAGCAACAACAATAACAAGGTTTTATTTTACCTCTCATCAACTTGTTATAATTTTCTTGAGCTTCTGTTTGTATATGAGCAATCCATTGATGATATGTTCCACAGTTGGCCCCTGGTTTTGTTTTGACTGATGTTATTAAGCGTCTCTAGTCAATTTGATTCCATCTGGTGAGGTATGTATGGTTACTGTAGGATCACAATGGCTCTGAATGATAATCCATGGGCTGCAAACCAAAAGATCAGCTATTTGAACCCACAAACCACTCCGTGGAAGAAAGATGAGGGTTTCTACTTCCACGAAGATTTAAAGCTTTGGTAACCCTAATACAGAGTCACTCTGAGCCTGAAGGAGTCCTGGTTGGCGTTGTGGGCTAATGCGTCAGAC